CGTATGCAGTACTGCATACACAAAAGTGTCTTCATACTGCTTGTAGTACTCATCATATTTGTAACATTTAAAGTGCAGAACTCACCATAGAGTATATTCAACCAATATTAATATATTTATAATAGTCATGGAAGATGTACTGCAAATTCTCATAGTTAAAAACCGTAACACAGTGCTTATTCATAATTTCGAATAGTACTTGTTTGCAGTTTTTACACTACTTTCATAATACGTACAATATCTACGTATAGTACTTATAAAAAAACTTCTGCTACAAATATTTGAAGTACTTATGTACAACACTTCTAGTAACCATTTTCAACAAACATTTATTACGATTATCAAATTTAGTAAAGGAAAATAATTATAAAAAAAAGTTCTTTTACACATTTCATGTAACTACAATCAGCTTTAACTAGCAATATTAAAAATAACTCAAGAATGCAAACAACACCGAAGAAAATTTTAATTAAGATTAAAGAAGGAGTCAATTTTAATCTACATATGTACAAGAACTTTTAAAAGTACATGCATATATGTACATCAAACACACATGAATGTAAATATGTACGAGATGTAATACACATTATAAAGATTGCTGATACTGACTGCCTTAAATATTATTTTTTAAAAATACATAATTAAATATATTATGTACATACAAATAAACATCCAAATATCTACATATGTACCTATACAAATATAATGCAACAATATAAAAATATCAAAAAAATGTTAAATGAGAACATTAATATGTAGAAGAAATTAGTATATATGGAATATTTTCATTGCTTTTGATTTTGAGGCACCCTAGGGCCATATGGTATACAAAAAACTTTGCATTATCTTAAGTATTAATCATAATAGGTGTACATTTTAACGTATACATAACATATTGCTTATTTCATATTCAATAATAATTATATGTACGTGCGTGCGTATGTGTGTTATGTGTAAGACGAAGGAATTATACAATCAAGATATTCTAAAATACTACGTATGCACATACATATGTACATCGAGTGAGTATGAACTTGAAGTTGAAATTTTTTTGTACGTATATTCTTTAAATATCTTATTATAATTATTTACATATTATTATGTACACGTATATAGGAGTGCGATGAAATAGCTTTAAGTCTTATGATATAAATTTTTGAATAACAGGTTAATTTAAACCTTTAAGAAATTATTTTTTTTAAGACACGAGAAAAAAATTTCCTAACTATAAATTAGCTCGAGAAAATTGTATGTAAATTTTTTTTCTTCAAATCATATGAGATTTGATTGATAATAATAACGAATCATGCAAGTTTTCACAGTAAACTGAATAAGGAGAGATTAAAATATTGTATTTTGTATAATAGCTTAAAACAGTGCGTTCGCAACTCCGTAGTACCCAATGGACCCAAACGATTAGAAATAATAGAGAATATTTCCCCTGTGTACAGCCTGCTTGTCGAGTTTGTGTTTTTAATAATTTGACCCCAGGTTTTCATTAATTGACTTATGTGGTTCTTTAAAATATTATTCTCAGCAAAAAGATGCTAGGAAAAGCATTGTATTCGTGTCCAAATGAGTTTAAGAAGTTAACTCTAATTTCTAAATTCCTCAAATTATGTAAAACAATATGTAAAGAAAACACAATTTCCAAGTTGGACGACTCAATAAATCGGAAAGGAGAGTAGAAAATACAAAATGTCTAGTAATGATTGTTCGTCTAGGCTGTTCCCTTTCCTTTAACCGGAAACCAATCTGTATGAATATATACATACATATAATTTGTTTGAGTTTAACTTAAAATTAAGTGATCTTTCCTAAATTTTAATTATATTTCCTTACATTGAATATGTAAGGAAATATAATTATTTTACTTTATGATATATAACTGAATAATTTTCACTTATTTCAAAAATCTTATTGATTTTGAATTTTTAACGTAATGTATAGGATCTTTTTCCTTTTCTTCAAAATACAAGGTTGTTATTGAGAAATGATACACCCTAAACTTAAAATTTTTTAGTTCTAAATTGAAAAATTACAATATCTGAATAATTTGTTTAATTGAAATATTTTATTTATGAATTCATTTTAAAAATAATTGATTAATAATTATTGATTTGAAAATAATTGAATAATAAAATATTTTAAAATTATGAAGAAAATTTCGACAATAAATATATTTCTAGAAAATTCCAAATTTAAACCACTTAAAATTCTTAATATTTTAATTTCAATTAATAGAAAGAGTAATTGCATGGGAAAGTGGTAAATATTTTGTACTTATACAAACTTTAGTTTTTAGCACTTTTCCAAAAAAATTTGAAAAAAAGTGCTTATTAGTTTCACTCTGTCAGTCCGTATGTCTGTTTACAAAACTTCTACAACCTTGAAGACAGAAACCTGAAATTTCATATGTACATAGATGTTTACTAGAAACTAATTTTGGTAGAACATAATTTCTGCATATCTCGCCCCCTCTAAAAGTTATACCCCTCCAACACTCTAAAAATGACATTTTTCAACTATTTCAAATTTTTGATGTTGTTTTTCTTCCTAATCCCAGGTTGCGGGCGTCTGAAATTTTAGTAGCTTTTAGGCATTAATAAATAGTTCTTTTCGTTAGAAGAAAATTTTTTTCCATCTCAAACCCTTCTCAAGTTATCGCCTCTTAAATTTTGCAAAATTTGAATTTTTGACGCCTTATATTTCTGGAACCACAAGTTTTTCTAAATTTCTATAAACGCAAAAAGCTAACGGTAAATTCTCTTTAAATTAATTTTTGCTTCATTTCAAAGACTGCATAAATCGTTTATCCTAAATATATGCAATCTTAGAAATGGTTTCGTATATGAACGAAATTAACTTTAATAGTGTGTATAGTAGGTATACGTGATTGTTTTTAAAAACAGTATTTTCACTTGTTGAAGGGAGAAGTGCTACAATACAAACCATTGGTTTGCCCTAACTTTATTTATTAAATAATAAATTACAAGTATGTATGTATAATAAAAGTTGAATGAAAATGTATTTGATACAAAAATTAAGATCTAAATGAAATTTTATTTAACTTTTTCAGTTTATATTTTTTCACAATTAAAAAATTATTTTATGTTACAATTGAGGCTATTTCCCTATTAATTTCCCCACTTGTAAATAAACCTTATTGAATGAAATATGAAACGAAAATGTTGCAGAAGTTTTTACCTTAGCATTATCTTGTCATTTCTGTTGTAACTTGTAAATTTTTTAGACCAACGAAGTAACCTTAAATTGAAAAAAAAGTAAAATTTGAATTAAATTTAAAATTATAGTGCAAATATGTAAGACTTTTACTACGGAATTTAAGTATCATTATCAATTTTTGCCCTTTCTTGTTTAAATTTAGCCTCTTTTTAGACACCTAATTTTATTCTGTTCAAGAAATTAATATAAAAATATAAAAGGTGGGTCAAACCAATGGTTTGTATTGTAGCGTTTTTCCCTTCAGCAAGTGAAAATGCTGCTTTGAAAAACAATCTATGTGTACCTACAACACTATTCAAATTATTTTCATTCTATTTAATTAACATAATGCTCAATTTTCATGATTAATTGTGTCAGTTAGGAAAAATAATTATATTTTTTAATGACATGGAATTTACCTTTATCTTTCCGCGTTAAATTTGAAAAAGCTTGAGGTTTCCAATTATAAGGTGCCAAATATTCGAATTTTACAAATTTCGAGAGGCGATAACTTGAGAAGGGATGGAGATGGAAAATCTAACGAAATTAACTCTTTGTTAATGTTTAAAAGCTGTTAATTTCAGACTTTTACAAATTGGGGTTTAGCAGAAAAACGACATCAAAAATTTGAAAAAACCGGATTTTAGATAAACGTAAACTTTAACGCCCATTTTGTTTTTTTAAAGTTCGAATGTAGTACGTTGCGATAGAAACGTTGTAGTAGACAAATCACAGCTTTTCTGCGTTTGCGAAATTTGAAACATGCATATGATTCACTACAATAAATAGTTGAAAAATGGTATTTGCAGGGTTTTCGGGGGCTATAACTTTTAGAGGGAGGGAGGTAGGTAAGAATTTTTGTTCTACCTGAGTATGTTTCTAGTATAGATCTATATCTTTATATATAAAATTTCAGCTTTCTATCTTCAATGGTGTAGAAGTTTTGTAAACAGACACACGGACGGCCGGACAGACAGAATGAAACTAATAAGGACTTTTTTTTTCAAAAATTTTTTGAAAAAGCGTTGAAAATTCCAGCTTTTATCCATATATTGGATATGTATGTGCATATACATGCAATTATCCATATAGATAAGGAATTTAACTTATTCCCAATTTTTGATTATAATAACTTAAAGTTCGATGTTCCATTCGCATTTATCTAGTGATCATAGTTGTATAAATATTTGAACTGACGTTATGTGACCTCCGATTTTATTTTTGAAGAAATAAAATTTGACAACATCACAAGCGTGTAAAACCTAAACCTTTCATATTGTATAATATACGAGTTTTATACAGGACATCTAATAGAATGATCTCATTACATATGTAGCTATTTGCTTTTGTTAATCAAGTTAAAACAAAAATTAAGCCTCACCGGCACACGGAACTTAACGATAAAACGGTGGTTTAGGTATCGAGCCGATGACAATTTTCGAGAATTTGCAGTCTGCGGCAAAACACTTCTTTTTAAACTAAGCTATTTGTTAAATTCTACCTAATTAAAAAAGCAAATTATTCCTAACATCAACGCAGCAATAGTACTTTACTACTTCACAATTCACCTTTTGGGAACTAATTTCTTATCAAATTGGACGTCAGGTTCAGAATACCTGATTATTCTAACATTTATGCCTCTCTTTTAAGCATCTGAATTTTCAGATTTTTTTTGATTATTTACTTTGCTTATATAAAAATAAAAGAATTCTGCAAAGCTTGCAAAAATATTTAAATAAATTAAATAAGATATATTTTTGTTTCATTCATTACAGGCAATTAACAGATAACCAGATTCATACGATAGAAAAAGATGCACTTGCAGAGCTTCAATCATTAGAAAGGCTGTAAGTATTGCAAATCGTTTAAATAGTTTTGTTTGCTTTTTGTATTAAATAACAGTCTACAAAAGAATTAATGCTTAATTGATCATAACTTTTTAATGATCAATTAAGCATTAATTCTTTTGTAATTTTAAATAAATTTTTTTATAACACGTGGGTTAGATTTAACTTACGTTTTCTTTAATTTCATAAAATTGAAAAACTCAATCGATTTTCACATTTATATAACTAATCACTTATTGAAGTTAAATTTTGACGTTTTCTGGAAGTTATTTTGTTGTCTGTACATGAACTTTTTGTACAACACAGGCACAAAACTTAAAGACAAGATACATTTAAACAAGATAATCCGTTTAAGTCCGGTTATCCCAACAACTTCAATTATGCTCGAAAATTTATTCGTCTCGTGATTTATGCAATTTTTAGATTAATTGACGCAATCTTATTTTTATTTTTTCATTAATCAATAAGATCTTCTTGTACGCAACTTATTAAAGTGAAAACTCTTCTCATTAAAATTATCAAATCCTAAAATATTATGCCGTATTACAGATTTGTTTAAAATATTACAATACCTTTCCGATAAGACAAACGTTTTGCTGATTTTTAAATTGCAAAGTGCTTGGATTTTTTTTACTTTATTGCTTACCGTATATACATATTTTAAACTATTTTGCACGCATATTTGTAGATTGTATATATTATATGAGGTTGACTTCCAAATTGTAAAATAAGTAACAATTATCTATACGATTTGAAAATTTACGGATTGCGCAAATAAAGAATTAATGAAAACTTCACACACTGTATGCGTTTTGACATATGAGCTTTTATATAATATGTCGTATTTTTTGTCTCTTATGTCGAAATTTTTGAGAGCAAGACCACAGGAAATATAAGATATAATACACATAAGTACGCAGATTATGAACCTACGTAGTTCTGACAATTTTTATTGTTAATTGCACTATACATGAAGTTAACTAACCTTAAAAATTATTTTAGAACGTATATTTGTAATCAAGTTTTTTATTTGTTGTAAATTGTATATTTATATGTAATATTAAATATACAATTTGCATACGTAAATTGTATATTTTTTACTCACTCTAACGATAAAAAATATTTTTTTCCGACTTTAAATGGCAAAAATGCCAAATTTTATTTTACGGAATAGTTTTCAAACAAGGAACTAAATATTCTTTAACTCAAAATGATAACTACAGTACCGTCAAATCATGTGATACTCAATCTGTTGATTTAGTACAATTTCACCGAAATTATTTAATTTTTAAAGAGGTTGTGTATCTTTTTCTATGTTGCTTCAATTTCACAATTTGGATATCAATCTTATTATATTATTATATTTAGAATAGTTGATTAACTTTTGCATATTTTATTTTCATTTTTATAATTTTGTTTTTTCTCTTCCTTTTTTTTTTAAATATGTCAAATGTATTTTTATTAAACGCTTTGTCGTGCACATTGGCTGTTTTGGTATTTTACTAAAATATTTTTTATTTTATCAAAATCAACTTTTTATTTTTTAATGTATTAAAAAACATTAAAAACTGGTAACATCGAAAAAAAAATCGAAAATCAAAACGAAAACAACTAAAAAATATCAAACAAAAATTTCATGAATCTCCGTCATCATTATTATCATCAGGCGCTTGAACAGCAATCACTTGAAGGCAATACCTGATCAGTTTGTGACAAATTTAACCAATTTATTACGATTGTAAGTAAAATTTATCATTTTTAACTTCTTATTATTACCGTTGTTTTCTTTTGTTTTACTTTTTTTTTCTCGAAAATTTAAAAAAAAAAATAACCAAATATTTTTTAAGAATTATTTATAATACTTTTTGTTTTTTGTTTTTTTTGAATAGAGTAAGAGTAGCATTTGAGTTGAGTGTTTGAATTTTTTTGCTCCTGCTCAAAAAAAATCTTGGTAAATAAATAAAAATGAGTTTCAATTTCGTTTTGAAGAGGATTTGATTGGCTCAAAGCATTTCTTTCTGATAACCAAAACACAATATTTAAGTATAGAAAATATGAGAAATTTGATTGTTGATGCTTCAAAAAGTATAGGAAAAAAACAAATAAGAAAAAGAGTCCTTAAGATAACAGTTTTTTTTTATAAAATCATATTGAATAATTTATGTATTATTTACGCTTTCTAAATTTTCTTCTTAGATAAATTATTATAATAACATAAAATTGTGTGTATAGGTTGGAACAAGGAATTTTGATCAGAAAAATTTAGATAATAATTATAGATTTGAAAATTTCTTATTTCTGGAATTGAAGTTTATTTGAATTGAAAAGTAATAACAATAAAATAAATATATTTTTAAATGTAAATGGAATTTGGTAGAGAAAGAGTTTGGACCATTAAATTACTTTTTAGCTTTTTTCAAAAAAATTTTTGAGAAAAAGTGCTTATTAGTTTCGCTCTGTCCGGATGCGGTTACAAAACTTGTACATCCTTTATGATAGACAACTGAATTTACATTAAAATCTTTATTTGAAACTTATTTGCGTTGAAAAAAATTTTTACCTTCCTCACCCCCTCTAAAAGTTATAGCTAGCTCAAAATTCCAAAAATGTCATTTTTCCTTTTACAAACGCATAAAAGTAGTGGGCTTCTTCCGCTGCGTTGTAGCATAATTCACTATCTAATTGCGTTTTTTTTTTTTTTCAAATTTTTGATATCGTGTCTCATTTAGAAACTAGAGACCTTAAAAAATAGTTTATTTCGGTAAAATAAAATATTTTTCTGGAATTCGGATTATGTTAACACCTTTTAAATTTTTTTCTATTTTATCCCAAATGTATGCAATTTTTTAAAATATTTTAATATATGAATAAAAGTTATTTAAATAATGTAATAGATTGTTTTAAACAACAGTTATTGAGGGGAAAAGTCCTACTTTACAAACCATTGGTTTGGCTTAACTTTAATTGTATTCGAATATTTATTATTCAGTAAAGTATTATTTGACACATACATACTAATGAATATCAAGTTCCGTAAGTTTTAATTGCAACGCGGAAATTTTATTATAAAAGAGCTTCAATGCTTCTTCCAATGTCACTTGTAATTTTGAGCGTGCTAAAAATGCTACATTAATTGTTCACTATTAATAGAGAAACCTATGTATTACTATTATTTGAATATATTGCGGAAACTACGCTGTACTATACTTTTAATTAACAGTTCCAAAAAAAAAATTTAATTACAATAGCTAGCGCAATGGAAACAGCTGAACTGTTTTTGTTTTGATCTGCGTCCTTGAACTTTATATGATTCGATTGAATATGATTTTAATGGTAAATCCGACTGAGGGCAAGAAAATATGATTAATAAGAATAAATATGATTTTAAGAAAATTTAAAAAAAATGATGAGGTGCAAATGAACAAAAATGTATGAAAGAAAATTTTTGTTCTCAACACTATGCTATGAATTCAAATTATAGCCGCAGTTTTTATATACTTATTATTTACTTAGTATTGTCAAAAATATATTGCACATGCATTACATTTTTGTTTCGTAGTATTGCGTTTACGAAAATGTCTATTGTCTTATAAAAGGTTTTACCCCTTTCATATTGTGCGTGTATGTATATAGGAATAATTCCAATGTACATAAACATAGGATTGCCATTCCAATAGAACATTGGCATTACAATAAATTAGTAGAACATGACAATATTTTGCTGTTATATAGCCGTTTCAATATTAGAAAAATTTTAAGTCAATTTACTGAAATAATTATAAGCCACTGCAATTTTAAAATCATTTCCAGTTTTTCTGGATTTATTCCTAATCTTGTAGTTCTGGAGTTATTCTGAACCTGATAGTTTGATAAATCGTCATTTTCAATTCATAAGATTGTGAAATTTCTATTTCATGAAACTAAGGTGAATATTCGCATTTACGTTTCCCAATAGCCACAATTGCTTTGTAGAATTGTTATGCATATATATAAGCATTCTTATTATATTACTTAATATATTATTATTATTAATTTTAAAAGTGGCTTAGTTTTAGACGTTGAATCATATACCAAACTAGACAAAACCGAACACGCATTTCTCTTAAAAAATTACAAAAACATCAATTAAAATTTGAGTTATGTATATATATATATGTATGTATGTTTTAGAAAATTTTATTTTTTGAATAAATTCCAACTCTCTCTTTAATAATTAAACAAATTAACAACAAGGCTCACTAAATTCTTTTGCACTTAAATATTTCACTTATAAATTCCTTGTCCGTCTTAAAAGTTATTTGAATTTAAAAACTGCTTATGCCTCTTTAATACTAATCTAAAATAAAAATAAATTTTTGTGGTATTTTATATTATGAATAAAATAAGCTGACATTAAAGATTTAATGTCATATTTTTTCTTTTTTTGTGCCATTCTTTATTTCTTTCTCTCTATCTCTATCATCCTCTTGTTCCATGTATATAAATTTTCACATTTTTTTGGTAATAAATTTTATTATTAATTCCATTTATTTTATTCCTAACTTATTTTGCAAAATTTTAGAAGAAATTCGTTATTATATTAAATAAAATTGATAGGTAGCGATTTATTTAAAATTAATATTTAATGTAGTTATATGTAATTATGTTTGTAATATACGTATTTATGAAAGAATGTTCATAATGTATTTGATTTCATTATACAGACTTCTTTGTATAATCCTTCACTGAAGGATTTCAATACTGATTGCATTTTAAAAATATCTTAAATAAACAGTAGATGTTGACAATCTGTAAAAGTGATAAAATTTCAAATTAATTTAATGTAATTATAGAACATGGTTTTTGGAATAATGAATCTGTATTAGAAGTACAATTATTTAAATTGAGAATGTTGTTTCATAATAAGCACTTCCTTTTAAAAATTACATTAAAATAATATAGTGTTACCTTTAACAAAATTATTTGTTTAAATATTTAAAAAGTTGTTATATTTTAAGCATAGATTTCCAAAAGAACCTATTATTGTTATATTATTAAGGAAGGAGCAGTATCTTCGGACCAGAAAAGAAAAGTAAAATTTGAATACTTTTCTCTTCTGGTTAATTTAAATGTTAATTATTCCGTATCTGTAGGTAACATATCTCGATGTTCTTTATAAATTTCGACCACCCTTTTCTAAATAAGATCTGAGTTTGTTTTCAAATAAAAAAAATTGCCATGAAAATGTAAATTTCTACTTTGCACTAAATGAAATGTAGTAATAGAACAACAGAAAATTAAAAGAATTTAGATGAATTTTTTGCAACAGCTGATTTTATTCAGATTTTTCCGCACTTAAACTAGCGATCTTATGCATTATTCTCTACAATATATATTTAACAATATTTAAAGATTTTCTTTTCAATTAACTGAAAATCTTAACAAAGATACAGTTTAAGCGAATTTAAATTTCATTCTTCATAATCGTATATTTGTTTAGATCTAGCTTCGGCGTGACTTCACACTATGAACTAGGGTTTTCTTTTTAATTTAATTTTAAAGTAAATACTACAGAAATTCAAAGTTTGATTTAGATTGAAAATGGAATATTCAAATAAACAGAATTTTAATAATAGCCAAGCAGACATTATGAGAATGGGATTCATTTTTAAAAGATTTTGATCTTGAATAAAATAACTTTTCTCTTAAGAAACAGTTTATTGTAGAAAATACAGAGTCACATTTTGTCTGATCTATAAATTTCATAAAATAAATTTAAATTATTTTTATGTCTCATTTTAAGAACAAGGTACAACTTTCTTATATTTAATGCAAAAGATATTAAATCAGGAATTTTTGGATTTATATTAATAATTCGTCAACTACAGTTGTATAATTGAACAATTTGTGCTGTTCTCTCTTAGAATTTAAAAACAAATTGTGAGTGGTCACCTTCTTCTTGAAGTAAACTTCAATTTTTTAAAAACAACTTAAATATCAGTAACTTTACACTAATAAAATACAATATAAAAATGCTTTGGATAATTAACTCTTTTTTTTATACTACAATAATTCAACGGAACCTTATTTTAAACAATAGAGTGGATTTTTACATTATCATTACAAAATGCAACCAACTTAATCCTTTTCATGATCCCCTTTAATTTTTGTTTTTTAATTAAATTTCTATATACACTTACTCATTCCTTCACCATTTTTAAATATTATGACAAGAATGTAATCCTTTTTTTCTCCTTTTTCCTCTTTTTTCACTTTTTTTGTTCTAACTTCATTATAATATAAAATTTTTTGTCTCTTTCCTCAAGGAAAATCAATCAAAATGTCTACTAACTGTGTTTTTTATAACAAAGCATTTCCAAAAAAAATTTTTTGGAAAAAAAACAATATGCGAATTTAAAAATTTATCCCCATATAAAAAAAAAATATTCAGATGTTGCATAGCAAGAATCCCGTGTCTTTTTCCTTTTCATCTGACATATTGCAATATTGATAATTAAATAAAAACAAAACACACTAAGGTCGTTGTTATTTAAAAAGAAAAAAAAACAAAATACAAGAGAAAACAAACATCCTTTTTGCTGTTCCAAGTCCTATAAAATATAATTTTCCCTCCTTATCAATCATTTTTTGTGCATTATCCTTTCAGTTTAATTTTAATTTATAACTCATTTCACTTTGGATATTTTAATAAAATTCAATTTTCATATTATTTTTCCAATATAAACATAAAATTTTTTAATCCCAATCAGTAGATACAGATTTTACTTTAGTTTTTAATTTACACCTTAAACTCAGTTCTTATAAAAATATTTTTATAGTGTTCATTAAAGTTTGTGTTTTGTGACAAAAGAGAAATCTCTTCTTGTATGTATATAAAAATTTCAATTTCACTCTAATGAACTTACACAAAATTGTGTGAATAATTTTTAAATATTCGTGTATGAATGTATATGTGCAAATATTTTTAAATCAATGCCATTGTAATTAATCCTTTTATATATATTTTACGAATAAACACTACTACGATTACCAAATAAAAACCCCAGCTTCCGCTAACTTGTACATTTTATATACACAAGTCCAGACGACCAAAAAAACAATAGGTTTCCTTGACAAGATTATTGCATAGAATGCCATTTGTAGTGGTAGTCGTAGCAAGGACATTAATACTTTTCAAACAATCATCTGTATTGCTTTTATTTTGAAACAATTTCAAAAAAAAAACAAAAAGGGTTGAATTTTTTGTTTCGTTCTTCAATTTTACTAGAAAAAAAATCAATCCTTACAAGGATATTTTAATAGGAAAATCTGCTTGCCAATCAAGTTCTAATTTTTTTTTCGTTTCTATTATTTTTATTATCTTTGCAGTTGAATATTGTTTGCTTTTTACTTGTGTTTCAGTTAAATATTATCGCCTTTTCATGTAGTGTTTTTCTATGTTCAACATTTTATTCATAGTCAGAAAATAAAAGAATGAAAAAAAGCATATCAAAAATAAAAATCAGATCCTTGTTAAATTTTTAAATCCTTAAATAAACACTAAACAATCTCGATATTTTGATAACAAACAATGACAAAAGATAAATCTGTTTGTGTTTTTCCCGTTTTCTTATTTTTGTGTTGTTCTTTTGTGTTTTCTTAAATTTTTCCCCCCCAAAAACAAAATGTGTTCATCCAAATCAGATTTTTCAGCTCTTCTTTAAAGTATCCTGTCATCAACCTTATTGAAACGAATAATTTTTTTTTGCTTTTCATTTTTTTTTTTGTTTTTGAATTCAACTAACTTTTATCTTTGGCTGGTGCATATTCTTTCTTGTATACTGGAATGAAAATCAATTTTTATTTTAATTGGTACTCGTAAATTAAAATTGACTAAAATACAAAAACAATATAACAACAACTGTAATAACAATGCATAAATATATTTAAAATAAAAAAATAAAAAAATTAAATTTTTACAATGAATATTAGGGATTTATCACACAATGAAATCACAGCATTACCGAGAAGGATATTTAAAGGTGCACCATCTTTACGTAGTCTTCAACTGGACAATAATCAAATTATGTGCCTGGATGAGCAAGCATTTAAAGGTCTTGCTGATTTGGAAATTTTGTAAGTAAATAAATAAATAAGGCTTATATACAGTTATACACATGTACGTATGTACACATCATATACATATACTTTTAAGACATATGAAGGACATATAATTTTGTATACAAAAAAACAAGCAAAATTTCCAGTCTTTGTCATGGCTGTTCGTATATCTTTTGTATATTTTATTTTGTTTGTTATACAAAAGATTAGCGTATGTGATTATACTTTTTTAAGCAACAAAATTACTATATATGCTTTTTTATGACATGCTTTAGAATAAACAGTAAGTACAAACTGCGTTTATACTTATATACATGTAAAATTAATTATTGACTTAAAAGTTTCTTTTATTTAAATTCGATTCTTTCCATTTATATTGCCTGCAAATGGTTAAAATTTTCATATATGTATGTAGATTAAATAAAAATACTTGAAAAAAGTTGACCTTTAACAGAAATTCAAAATTTTGAAAATTTTGAAAAAACCGTGCCAAATATTTGAAACAAAGCTCGAAATTAATCGTCCTAGAAGCACAAATGGTTTCTTAATTTAATTTAACTTAATAATCGGTTGAAATATGCTTCTTGAAATTAGTTGATTTCCAATATGACTTTTTGTCGTACAATATGGTTATTGTAACAGATTATGTATTTTATTCAATTGCCAATAAGAATTTGCAAGATTAGAGCAAAAATTGAAAGTCGCTTTTTAAAAATCAAATAAAATTAGCACATCGAACTAAATTGATAGATCGTAGACTTGAACTCAATCTGCAAAAATATTTTCAAAAATCAATTTTGTGCTAAGTTGAGTTAGGCAGTTTTATTTCATTCTCTCAGATATGTTACGTCATTCGTTCTAATAATCTTTTTGCTTTTAAAGACATGATATTAAAAATTTTTATTAATTCAAATATAAAATTATTAAACCTTGTTCTTTATTATCTTGATCTTATATCAATTGAAATGCATAAATCTTAATTGTGTCATACACTCACCTAGATAATATTTAGTAAAACATATTGTAAAATATCACAAAAGAATAGATTAAATCTAGTTTTCGTTCGACTTGATATTACAGTCTTTCTTATTTTCAATCACAATTTCTTTCTTAAATAACATATTTACTCACACGTCGAATTCATAAATATTTTTGCGAATTGAACACAATTGTATATGAGACGTGCATTACTTTTTGTCCTGACACAAGTGCGTCAAATGTTTAGATTTTTTATACCAACCATTCTGTAATAAAATTCAATGTGAAAAGAAAACATAATAAAAATTATTTTTTTATTTTTTTCTTGCCAATATGAATTAGGATGAAAAATCCTTCATTGTATCTGCTTGAATTCTTATCTTTCATTTAAAATCTAATTTTCAAATTTACGGCTGAATGAAAACCAAAAAATGTAAATGGACTGAATTCGTGCTAAAAAAGGAACGAAAATGAAAGAAAACTACTGAGCAAAAATGAATTTTATTATAAAATGAATACAAATAGAAAAATGGATGAGACTTTATTTTACCGTCATTCCTCATAGAACATGACAGATTTAAGATGATAATAAGATTTTAAAGTGATGTTTCTTTTATTTTTAATTCAAAACTTTAACAATAAATTTCGGTTTTTTCTTTCCATGTTTGTGCGGTGTAAGATTATTTTATTTCGAAAGTCATAATAGATATCTGCTTTTTATTAAAAAAATATATATGTATATAAAATTCTTTTAGAATTCACTTGTGTGTTTCATCACCAAAGTGCAGAAATAATCGTGGACAATCACCTTACACTCCCGATATTTCCGATATTTTCAAGGTTTACAACGAAACATCACCACAAAATATTTTACTCTCATTTTTAACGCTTCAATTTTTTTTTGATTATACGAAGCGAATTTTTCGACACCATAAGAGATTCTTTGTTTTCATGAAAAGAAACTAAAATTGGCTTAAAAATTTTAATAAAAAAATTTTCGGATTTCAAAATTTTTTTAGGATCTTGAAACTCTTTATACTTCTTAAAAGGTCATATTCCCCCAAAAATTAAAATTAAATTTAAATTAGGTGAACTAGGAATCATAGAAGATCTATATGTATATAAGTATATTGCGGCGTAAACTATGAGTGCATTTATTGATGGTTATCAATTGATGATTATAATTTCCGAAACTCCTTATAGAATTTTTCCGCAACTGCTGTTGCAAGTACTGCAATCGCTAAATATAATTGTAGTAACATTTTGAGTTTCAAACCGCATGCATTTTTATTCTCAATAATTCTCAACAATTTTTTCATATTTGTGTAGATCAGTTGAAAGAGTTTAGAAAACGGCAAGTCGCTGTTTCGAATTCAATTCGAAGTTAAAGGGTTTTTAATATTTCTGCCTTTGATTTGTTCGTTATCTTTAAAATATAACAATAAATTCATTAATGTTTTAAAGGTAATATGATATTTTAGTCTATAGTTGCAATGCTTGAAAAATAAAATTTAGTTATCATAAATCGTATTAAATGCAATACAACCCACGTGACATATAAATTTATAAAAATGAAAAAATATAATAACTGAATACAAAGTTGTCAAGTTATTTTTCAGCAATTTAGACAATTTAAATGATAAAATTTTCTGACAATCCAATTATATTTTGTAGCTGTAAGTAATTATAAATATGAGCAATTATTACACCCCAGCGTTTTTGTAATTACAAAAATAAAAATATTAGTTATATGTATATGAATATTTATTTCAATTATGTAAAATTGTAATTGATGATGTAAGGATCATATGTGCACATTGTGAACAATAATTTAAATATGTTCCAGTTATTATAAGCAAATTTATAAAAATAATTGCAATACGTTGTAAAGTTTCTGACAAAAAGACTTGGAACGTATGACCTTTATAATTTAAAACTTTGTATAAATCTTATTTCACTCTTCTACAGAAAGTTGAACATGCAATCAAAAATTTGCAAACAATAAGATAGAAACGCAAATGACGCTTCGTATTAGAAAAAACCAAGTCAAAGTTGCAAATTTGCGTTTCCGGTTACATGTTTTTAGTGGAACGCGTTTTAATATTACTAACAAAAGCTTCCGATCCCAACTTTACAGTTTCCGATTAAACGCTGTTGTCCAATGATGTCGTAATGCGGAGCTTCTTTTTGTAAAACCGCATAAGTAAAACTAACCAAAATCGAGCCAATATTTGTTTTAATTTGTCATATTCCATACATTAATCTCTATTCAAACTCAATTATGCAAATTAGTTCAATTTGCAAAATTATGTAATTCTGGGGTCATCAAATTAATGTTATAAATCCCAGTCACAAAAAAGTAAAATAAAATGATTTTTTGGAAAAACATGCTATCATTTTCTTAAATTTACTCTAATTTTAACTAAACGTTAACTACGTTAACTACAAACTTTCTAAACTTTAATTAAAAAATTTATTCGTAAAATAAAACTTTTGCCAAAAATTCTACCACTTATCAAAAATTCGACAAAAAGAACAAAATATGTGTATAAAAAAATAATCATAAATAAAAAATTTTCAAAATTTTATTCATTATTTTTTAATACATAAATTTTAAATTTTAATTATTAAATAATTGAATGCTGAACATATACATACATATATTTACATTAACAATAATGGGATTTTTATTCTTATTCATTATTTTCATTCTGCAGAACTTTAAATAACAATAATTTAACAAGTTTACCACATCATATATTCAAAGGCTTGGGTCGCCTTAGAGCTCTTCGCTTATCGGAGAATCCATTTTCATGTGATTGTCATTTAGCATGGATGTCAAAATTTCTACGCAGTGCACCTCGTTTAGCACTCTATACAAGATGTCATTCACCAAGCCAACTAAAAGGTCAAAACGTGGCTGATCTCCACGATCAAGATTTTAAATGTTCAGGTAAGCACAATGAAGTAACATTAGATTTTACATACATACATACATATGAACGTATATATAACACATATAAAACATTAAGTTATATAAGAAAAATTTAAATATAAAAAAAATTTTGTTTCAAAGTTCAATCTAATAATGCATTGCATATTTTGTGTATATATGTGGATACACAATGCATTTAAATGTACAATATTTTTTTTCTATTCGGATGCAATCTGCATTTTGTAATATGTTTTTATATTTTAAACCATAAGAATATTCACTAATGTTTCCCTTGCATTACATTATTATTCGTTGTGCCATCAGTCTTTTTACTGACCTCTAACAGTAGCATAGATAAACACAACATCGTTAATTAATTTCAAAAATTCTCAAAGTGCAATTTCAACAAGTTTCAATGAAGTTTTTTTGTATGAATTGAAATCCATTATGCGATTTTGGCTTAAATATCACAGCTGTATACGTAAAATTGAAACTTTAGAAAAACAATAAAATATTTTATTTCAGAAACAAACAGGTATAAAAAGTGCGCACACCTTAAATCGTGTTTGTTAAACTGTAAAATCGTTAACAACATAACTGCTTATTGTTGTGTACCTTCAAATTTTATATTAAATTAAAAGTTAATATAGTATATAAAAGGAAAAACGAGCAAAACCAAAAATTTTTTGCTGTTCGAAAGAATTCGTTAAGAGTAGTATGATTATTAGCTCATTAGAAAAATTTTGACAAGAGTTTAAAAGGTAATCGATAATGATGAAGCTTATTTATTAATTCCCAAATTTCGTAAAAATTAAGATTAATAAAGCCATTTTAAACGTCTAAATTAGTGAAATTTTGATAACTAATACTCACTAGTGTCCTTGAAAATGCAAAAAATTTTATATCTTTCCTATATCATTTGCGTACGAAATTATTCGCTACAGTTCTTACTGTAGTCTACAAAATACTTGGAAAAAAAATAATTTCGAAGCTCATTTTAAAATCTCATTTGTCAAAAACGAATAAAGACGCTTTTGGCTTAAACATTTTCTTCCTTTGTCAAAAATGGAATTACTTGCCCATTCCCAACACAAGACTTAAATCCGCTTACGATTTTACATTTGAAAACTTTTTTAAAAATGTACAGATCTTTCATTATAAACTGCTAACCTGCTTATTATCTTCATATTTCTAAATTAACTTCGTTAATTTCTCATTTCAAGAAGGTGTACTCCACATGTAGACAGTTAAAATTTGTAAAGAAAAGTGCTAGTTGAAGCTACTCTAAAAATTGTTTCAGAATTGATGTTCAAGAGCATCAAATTAAAAATATGCTTGAACCAATTAAATTTCAAGAATAATTATTAGTTCATGTTTGTTACCGACCATATTGTGTAAACAATAGGTATGTTATGTGATGGCAACAAATTTTGCATATCGAATTTTCGGTGGGAACGTACTTCTCCATAGTAGGGAAGTGTAAGTAAACTATTTTTAGCAACCTGTCGATCCGTCGGTCTGTCGGTCTGTGTGTGCACGCGTGTATCTCAAGTTCTGCTGAACCGATTTTGATGAAATTTTATATGTAAGTTTATTTCCACCATGGCACGGATTGATCAACTTTTAGGATATATCAGGCCTCGGGAACTGCACTTTTAAGCGGGCCTGTTTTACATTTTTCACCATTTTGAAGAAAATATTCAACCGATTTACTTGAAATTTCATATATAAACTTTTTTCGACCGTCCGCGAAAATTGCTAACTTTTGAAAGAAATCAGGCATCAGCAACTGGACGTTTACTACGGGCCAAATATACGTTTTTGCGTATATAAAGGGATATAATTGACCGATTTCATTGATTTTAATATTTAAATTACTCGTATTAAAACAATGAACATATAAATTTTTTGGAAAGATCAGGGCTCGAAAACTGATTTGCCGGCCGATTTTACATTTTTCACCATATCTACATAACGAATTGATGGAATTTCTTGAAATTTAATATTTGAGTTCTGGTTTACTGTCGAGCATTTCTGGGAATTCGGGTAGCACAAAGCGAAACTCTACTAAGAGCGCAATTTACATTTAGGTATGTTAACTTTAAGCTTACTAATGTCCTAAAAATGGGAATGAAGTATTTAAAAAACATTTTTATAATATTCTGTAAACCTTTCACTTAACTAGACAATATACAATGCGGTCGGTTATGTGCTGAACACATCACTTTTTTTTTTGTAATAATTGCTCATCGTTTTGTTCTCAACTGTTACAATAACAAATTCATACTTTCTCAATATATTTAGTTGTTTTCCATTAAAATAATATTTAAATTTTCTATATTCTCATTGTATAACTTTAAAGTCATAAGTCACAACTACATATATTATATAACTTTAATATCATATTGGTTCTTGCTCATTCTTGTAATCATTAATGAAATATTAATTTGAATTATTAATAATAATTTATAATTAATTTGCTGTCAATTATTCTTGAACATTTTAAAACAAAATCAAGAAATCCTAGGGAGTTTTTTATTAATTCTATGGTACGATGCATAACTCGTTATAATTATAGTACAGTGAATTAAAATGACTATTGATTATACATGTATTGTGTACGCATGTGGCTATTCTTAAATTAAATTCCAAAGTTTTACCCCATACCAATATTTAACTAATGTAATAACAAACAAATCAATCAAAATTGAATTGTTTAAAGTGATAAATGATTACGGCATCATTCTGCATAATAAATAAAACTTTGGTACAAAAGCAACAGTAATGTTTATTATAGTCAAAGTCTTCAGTTAATCCCTGTAGGATATCAATATAAGTATATACATATTTCCCATTTTACTATATGTACAATATGTCTTCCTTCATTTGTATATTGTTTTATATACGACTCCCATATTAAATTGGTAAATAACTCAATTAATTTTACAATTTTAACTCTTTAGACGACCCAGAATGCATTCATATATATAATATTTTCTAAAGAAGCAAACAGAAGCTACAGTTTTTTTTATTAATGCATGTTCTGTAAGTTTAGTAAAACATACACACATGAATATGTGAATACAAGGGTGTATGGATATTTATACTTGTAAAATTGTAAGTTGCTCTTTTCTAAATTTCTCTTTTCAAAATTGGTTACTTTCCTCAAATGCATCCTTTTTAGCACTTTTCCAAAAATTCTTTGAAAAAAAGTGCTTATTAGTTTCACTCTGTCTGTCCGTCCGTCCGTCCGTCCGTCCGTGGACAATTTTTTTTGTTTACAAAACTTCTACATCCTTGAAGATAGAAAGCTGAAATTTTATATGTACATAGATCTTTACTTGAAACTAACTTCCTTAGAACAAAATTTTTACCTATCTCCCCCTCTAGAAATTATTCCCCCCCCAAAACCCTAAAAATGGTCTTTTTTAACTATTTGTTGCAATGAAACCATAAGCATTTTTGAAATTTTGTAAACGCAGAAAGGCAGCGGCTTGCTTTCCCTAGCGTTAACTATAGTTAAACTTTAGAAAAACAAAATGGCCGTTCAAATTTACCGTTATCTGAGGTCCTTTTTTCCAAATTTTTGATGTCGTTTTTCTTCTAGACCCCAGCTTGTAGAAGCTTGAAATTTTAGGGGCTTTTAGACATTAACAAATAGTTGATTTTGTTAGAAGAAAACTTTTTTCCATCTCCACCCCCTCTCAAGTTATCCCCCCTTGAAATTTGTAAACTTTGAATTTTGGCACCTTATTTTTCCGAAACCGCAAGCTTTTTTAAATTTCTATAAACGCAAAAAGTTAGCTGTAAATTCCATGACATTAAAAAATATAATTATTTTAATTATATAATTATTTTAACAATTAAACCTTAAAATCGAGCATTATGTTAACTCCTTTTTATATTAATTTTTGCTTTATTTCAAAGACTGCATGTATGTATCATCCTAAATATATCCAATCCTAGAAAGAGTTTTGTATATGAATGAAAATAATTTTAATAGTGTGATAGGTGTACATAGACTGTATTTAAAAGCAGTATTTTCACTTGTTGAAGGGAAAAGTCCTACAATACAAACCATTGGTTTGACCCAACTTTATTTTTATTAATACTTTATTTCAGTAAATGTTGTTCAATAAAATTGTTCCATATAACACATTGAAATATGGTGTTTTATATACTTTTAGAAGAGGAACAGCAAAAATTCAGTATTTGATCATCAATTTTAATTATTTTACCATCTCTCAATATAAATTTTTTTTTTACTGCATTAAATCTACCTCTACACAACATCCTTTATTGTTGCTTTCTTCATTGTTAATGTCAGTTGATAAGTTGTTTGTCAGTTTCATGTACAGTTGATGTCTTGAAATAATGATGGTTCTGCTGATATTTGCCGCCAACTATTTCATTCAGTCAGCCAATCAATCAATCAGCAAAATCACCAACACAAAAAAAGCATTAAATAAGATTTTGTTTTGAATAAAATATGATGGTCAAGTGTTGCAAGGTAAGTCAAGTGTTGAAGGACGATCGACGGAAATTGAAGATTTTTAAAGAAAAAAAAAGGAAAAAATACTGTAAAATATATTCTGTCTTTCATATTTGATTATTTTTTCTTGTTAAATATTTCTTGCATTTGAACCTTATGAAAAAAAAGCAATGAAATAAATTGGCAAGTATGCAATAGATATGCAAGATGTAGCAGGTGACATGATCTTAAACTTGAATTTTTGCCTGAATATTACAACAGATTACTCATCACAAATTCACAATATTCCAAAAGTTTATTTTTGGAAATAAAAATTTTACGTAATTAAAAAAATTTATCAACTCAAATCAAATTTTGAATGAGTTTCAATAGAACTACAGTGCCCAGAAGCATTTTTCAAAAGAAATGGGGAAAAATTTTTTCATTTCCTTAAATTTTTATTTCTTTTCTATAAAAAAGTTCTCATATATTTGGGAACTTATTTTCTCTTAAATTGGGCAGTCTCATCGAAATTCTTAAAATCAAA